TTCAGATATTGAAGACGAATATCATTTTATTTTAATATGTAACAATTTTCATATTCTGAGAGTAAAATACATAAAACCATATTACTGGCGAAATCCTTCAATGTTTAAACTTGTACAGTTACTAAGTGCTGATAATATCAGCGTTATTCGTAAACTTGCTAGATACATTTTTGAGGCAAATAAGGCACGAGTGACGTAAACATGCACATCAATATAATTTATATAAATGTCTATTTATGTATTATTGACATTTGTATCATTACGGATTACATGTTGTTGTTGTTAATGTCAGATGTTAATGATGCTGATGATGATGATGATGATGATGATGATGATGATGATGATGATGATGATGATGATGAAGAGGATGGTGATGATGATGATGATGATGATGATGATGATGATGTGAGAGCGTTAATGATTGTTGAATGCACAATAATGATGTGGAAGTGATAATGAGTGTTGATTGCACAATACATATACGTATATATCAGTTGTAATTTATTGTAAAGTATAGTTAAGTATAAGTTGTCAAACTTAAGGAATAAACGTTGAATTGTGTGCATGTGTGTGTGTGTGTGTGTGTGTGTGTGTGTGGGTGTGTGTGTGTGTATGTGTGTGTGTATCATATTGTATGTTTTCTCTGTATTGTTTTGTATATATGTTATGACTGATAAGTCAACCGACTTAAAGTAATAAAGAACTTGAAAGAACTTGAAGTGGTCACCACCTGAAAAATCTAATCCTGGGTATTACAGAATTCGCTCCTGCGGCATTAACCCGCACCCGTGCTTTATTAAGAGCCCTGTTTCCTTCGCCCTCGGGAGTCAGTCGAGTATATGGACATATTGAACGCTATTGAAATATATAGACAAATTCTCATGCAAATTTGTGAAACCTCCCAGTGCTTTAAAGATTTACTAAACGAGACGTTGGGACCCGTATATAATTTGAGAAGATACTTGACCGCCAACGACCCAACACTTTTATTTCCTCATCCATGAAACCCTGGACGCTTGCTGTTGTTGCCGCCCCTATTCGAAATGAATGGGATGCGTAACCCTTACACTCAAGACCCAGCACACTTATTGCCTTTTTTAACACTGCAGAAAATTGATATCTGGTCAGTGGGGTTCCCCCAAAGTGACAAAAAAGGGGGCTCCGACACCTTTGGACGAACACTGAGAAACATATTCATATTTTTAAATGGACATACATTTGATTCACTGCTATGTAGTATAACTAGAGAACCCTTTCCTTCTTGATCTGTTTTTGAGTAAGAAATTTTCAATGTAACTGTTCTTTCCTTCTGATTCAATGTAATATCAGACACTGCCAAACATTTTCCAGGATTCCCAGCAGTATATGCGATTAATTCCCCGACCCTTAAAAACCCAAAAAATGCGGTTACATAAGCGGCAGAGAGAAGTTTGGTCTCGTATGAAGATTTACAAATCTTAGGCAATGCGAAAATGATTTTTTAAGTAAATCACATGTTATAGGTAGCCTAGTGTCTGCTGACCCTACAAGGCGTCTTAACCCCTCTACCATCTTCCTAACAACAAAGCATTGAGTAGGATCTACGTTACCCTGCAATTTACAAAAATAGCCTATACCAGCCAGGTATGACCTGACTGTGGTCTCCCTCAGACCTTTGAGAGACGAATGGGCAACACATTGTGTGATATGATTCATCGGTGGAGGCCATATTTGTTCTATGTTATAGCCAGTACGAAACATCTTGAACAACCGTAAACCTCGTTCATATGACAGGTGTGTATTTTGAGACGAGGACGCCTCAATCAGTCTGCCTACTTCACTTCGAATAGCAACGGATGAAAATCGGCTGGAATGGGCGCCGGATCTGGATCGCTGTCCACTGCCAAAGACCGGAACCTTTCCCACTGTTTTCGAGAAATAGAATCTGCAATTCCATTTGTGCTACCCGCTATGTGCCTTGCTCTGAATTGTATGTTCAAACGCATGCAAATGATCACTAATCTCTTAACAAAGCACATGATATAGCGAGACTTAGACGTTTGCTTGTTTATAATGGCGACCAAACCAATATTGTCAGTTCTAAACAACATTCGCTTGTTGCTCATTTTGTCTCCCCATATATACATAGCTAACACAATAGGAACTAATTCTAGACACGAAATGTCCCTCATGATATCCCGACCTTTCCAGTGATCTGACCAAGCCATGAATGCCCAGTGACCTTTAAAGGAAGCTCCACAACCCGCCTGCACTGTCGGTGAATAGTTCCAAAAACTGATTGTCGACCCAGTTCAATTCCTGGAAATATCGTGTTCCGTTGAACTCGTGTAAAAATTCCAGCCACGTATTGAGATCCTCTCTCATACCGGAATTTAACCGTATAAAATGGTGAGACTTTTTTTTACACCAATCATGGAGTCATAGAACCTTCTATTAAAAGCTCGTGCACCAGGTATGGCCTTTGTACAAAAGTCCAACAGCCCTACTAAAACTTGTAGTTGACTCAATGTTACCTTTTTCAAAGTTAACAAAAACGTTATGGTCAGTTTTAACAATTTTAGCTTGTCCGCTGGTATCCTTACCACCATTTCTACAGTATCAATTTCTATACCCAGGAACACAAGTGTAGTGGTGGGACCCGAGGTTTTTTCAGGTGCAATGGGAACACCCAATTCCTCACACACGCTTGTAAAACAATCCATAAGCTTTTGGCAGTCACTAGCTGGGTTGTTACAGGAAAACACAAAGTCAACAGTCTTAGCCCCCTGCCAAGCAAACAAAAAGTCATCCAAATAGTGATCTAATGAATCTAAACCGGATTTCATTCGGACTGCCCATTCAAGGAATGTTGAAAATTTCTCAAAAATAGAGCATGATATTGAACACCCCATTGGGAGACATTTATCAAAATAAAATTGCTCGCCTTTTTTAAAACCCAACAATCCAAAGTCATCTGGGTGTACAGGGATTAACCTAAAAGCAGACTTAATATCCATGTTCCCCAACAAAGCCCTCTTTCCCTGTAAGCTTACCATATCTACCACCAGGTCGAATGTAGAATAGCGCACTGAACACTTATCCTGGTCAATGTAGTCATTTACACTTTCAGACGGGGTGTGTGACAGGTGTGTTATGAGTCGCCAACCCCCATCTGACTTGGGAACGAGCCCGATAGGAGAAAGTCTCAAGTTAGACATAGGCTTATTGGGAAAGGGACCAGCAATGCGACCAAGCTCTATTTCTTTTTCTACTTTTTTTTATTTAACTCGGCTGGGTGTTGCTTGGCCGACACTAAATTGTTACACGATACTGAATGCCTTGGACCTTGATAATTTAGTCTAAAACCATTTTTAAAACCTTGAAAAAGTTCCTGGGCAACTAAAATGTTTGGATATCTTGATAACATTTGTTTGAGTGGTCCTAATTTAATTGGTGTTTTGCCTAGGTCCCCCAAATCTGTTGGTATTTCCTGATTGGTTCGCCTTGCTGGGTGTGCTATTGTTGTCGTTGAACCTAAATCTGCTGGGGTTTGACCTCTAAATTGCCTGTGCTAGCGCTATTATGCTGAAAGTTGTTTGCATGACACATGTAAGAAGCATGCTCCCCATTGCATTTCAAACAACTATGCTGATATCTACAAGGATTTCTAAAACATGACCCTTTATAGTTAAAGTCAAAGCACTTCCATACTTTTCCCGTGCCCATTCCCATGCTGTGTGTATTCAGGTTTTGAGACTGGCCAGTTTGGTTCCAATTCATGTATAGCAACCAAACTTCGGAGTCAATGCTGCCCCAAGACAATTCCAAGTTTCTGGATTTTTTTCAAATGAAATTGCTCATCATAATTTTTCCATCCAAATCCTCCTGGAAACGTACTTGGCCAAAGTCGGATGTTAAACATGTATTTTAAAATACCCTGCATGTCAGCTGGATGGGCCGACAAATTAACAGCCGAAAAGGCCAGGAAGGCATCCGTCCACTTCCCAATATCTCCTATTTTAGGCGCTTTTCTACCCCGTCCGGATCATGGTGGTTCTCCAAAAACACACTCAGGTCAATATATTCCCCGTTAAGTATTTTAATTCTAGTGGCCTGACTGATATTGGACCCCAGCATGTTCCCAACCGATGTACCCATTTCTGGATTAGTGCTATAATCCAAATTCATACCTATAACAGGCCTGACATCTGGTTACACTAGTGGCAATGGGCCGACCCCCGGCCTGACATGACTCCCCAGTGGTCTGATGCTGAGATCCCTGGTGTTCTCCCTCAGCCCGATGAGCACTTGGTTCCTCCTCATTCTGTTGAACCCCCCTTGGATTGGAGTGTCGGTCGTCCAACTCCCTCTCAGTACTGTATCTGGGGTTGGCAGTCTTTCTGTATGGTCGGACCCAAGTGGCCATGGCCTTCCCCGGGGCTGTCCCCTTTGCTTTTCCCTTCGGCATGCTAATAATCCTCAAGTCAACGTAGTATCTGAAACTCAACACTTAAACCCTAAACAATGTCCAACTTATTTCATACAGGACACCCTATTTATATATATATTTTTAAAAACCAACCAAACTATATCGTTGAGTGTATGTGGTTTATTTAATACAATGTGTAAAGCCAACATAAATAAAATAAATTAAAAAAATATTTTTTTAACACCGGGACCCCGTGGCCCCACATTTCAAACGAGAAAGTTATCGGCTTGTAGCTAGAATGTCATTATATGACAATTATGTCATCTACTTTCTGAAATAAGACAATACTATCACATTTCACGATTATGGCAAACCACAAAATTATATTGATAACACCAGTAAGTAATCGCCCGATACCACATAAGCATGGCGAAGAGTCGAACACATTGTAGCATGTCTCCCATTCGTACCGATAACTCGATCAAATAACTCATTTTATGAGTAAGTGACGATAATTTACATTACGATTCATGTCAACAAATACCTTACCAATTTGCTTCAGTAAATTTTCTGATAACCCAGACTATTTAGTCTAAAATTACATGTATTTCCTCATTCAATCCATCACCTCTAATTTTATGACCTCTTCAAATGAATCAACTCTTGGAAAGGAATTCCCTAATTCACGGACGATAACTCCAATTAGTTTTTACACTACAACCGAGCTATGCTACAAGGGGGACAAATCGTGTTACCTTGGAGCTCTGTTCTCCAATAGAGATAAAACACATTGAGGCTCATTAGCACAAAGATAACGGAATTTATCGTTTTATGGCCGATAAATTCTAATTATGTCAATCCTGATAAACAGGTGTTATGTCAATCCTGATAAACAGGTGTTATGTCAATCCTGATAAACAGGTGTTATGTCAATCCTGATAAACAGGTGTTATGTCAATCCTGATAAACAGGTGTTATGTCAATCCTGATAAACAGGTGTTATGTCAATCCTGATAAACAGGTGTTATGTCAATCCTGATAAACAGGTGTTATGTCAATCCTGATAAACAGGTGTTATGTCAATCCTGATAAACAGGTGTTATGTCAATCCTGATAAACAGGTGTTATGTCAATCCTGATAAACAGGTGTTATGTCAATCCTGATAAACAGGTGTTATGTCAATCCTGATAAACAGGTGTTATGTCAATCCTGATAAACAGGTGTTATGTCAATCCTGATAAACAGGTGTTATGTCAATCCTGATAAACAGGTGTTATGTCAATCCTGATAAACAGGTGTTATGTCAATCCTGATAAACAGGTGTTATGTCAATCCTGATAAACAAGTGTTATGTCAATCCTGATAAACAGGTGTTATGTCAATCCTGATAAAGAAGTGTTATGAAAATCCTGATAAACAGGTGTTACATGTATGTAAATCCTGATAAACAGGTGTTATGTCAATGCTGATAAACAAGTGTTATGTCAATCCTGATAAACCGAAGTTATTTCAATCCTGATAAACAGGTGTTTGTCAATCCTGATAAACAAGTGTTTGTCAATCCTGATAAACAAGTGTTATGTCAATTCTGATAAACAGGTGATATGTCAATTATGATAAACAAGTGTTATGTCAATCCTGATAAACAAATGTTATGTCAATCCTAATAAACAAGTGTTATGTCAATCCTAATAAACAAGTGTTATGTCGATCTTGATTAACAAATGTTATGTCAATCCTGATAAACAGGTGTTATGTCAATCCTGATAAACAAGTGTTATGTCGATCTTGATTAACAAATGTTATGTCAATCCTGATTAACCGAAGTTATGTCAATCCTGATTAACAAGTGTTATGTCAACTCTGATAAACAGGTGATATCTCAATCCTGATAAACAGGGGTTTGTCAATCCTGATAAACCGAGGTTATGTCAATCCTGATGAACAGGTGTTATGGCAATCCTGATAAACAAGAGTTATGTCAATACTGATAAACCAGTGTTATGTCAATTCTGATAAACAGGTGATATGTCCATCCTGATAAACAGGTGTTATGGCAATCCTGATAAACAAGTGTAATGTCAATTCTGATAAACAGGTGAAATGTCAATTATGATAAACAAGTGTTATGTTAATTCTGATAAACAGGTGAAATGTCAATTATGATAAACAAGTGTATGTCAATCCTGATAACCAAGTGTTATGTCAATCCTAATAAACAGGTGTTATGTTAATATAAACAGGTGATATGTCAATACTGATAAACAGGTGATATGTCCATCCTGATAAACAGGTGTTATTTTCAATCCTGATGAGCAGGTGTTATGGCAATCCTGATAAACAAGTGTTTAATCCTAATAAACAAGTGTTATGTTAATCCTGATAAACAGGTAATATGTCAATCCTGATACACAGAAGTTATGTCAATCCTGATAGACAGGTAATATGTCAATCCTGATACACAGAAGTTATGTCAATCCTGATAAACAGGTGTTTGTCAATCCTGATAAGCAAGTGTTATGTCAATTCTGATAAACAGGTGATATGTCAATTATGATAAACAAGTGTTATGTCAATCCTGATAAACAAATGTTATGTCAATCCTGATAAACAAATGTTATGTCGATCCTTATATACAAGTGTTATGTCAATCCTGATTAACAAGTGTTATGTCAATCCTGATAAACAAGTGTTATATCAATGCTGATAAACAAGTGTTATGTCAATCCTGATAAACAGGTGTTATGTCAATCCTGATAAACAGGTGTTATCTGATAAACAAATGTTATGTCGATCCTTATATACAAGTGTTATGTCAATCCTGATTAACAAGTGATATGTCAATCCTGATAAACAAGTGTTATGTTAATCCTGATAATCAGGTGATATGTCAATCCTGATAAACAGGTGTTATTTTCAATCCTGATGAGCAGGTGTTATGGCAATCCTGATAAACAGGTGTTATGGCAATCCTGATAAACAAGTGTTATGTCAATCTTGATAAACAAGTGTTATGTTAATCTTGATATACATGTACAAGTGTTATTTGCATCCTGATAAACAAGTTATATGTCGATCCTGATATACAGGTGATATGTCAATCCTGATTAACAAGTGTTATATGGACCCTTACGAACAAGTGTTATGTGGACCCTGATAAACGGGTGTTATTTCAATTCTGATAAACAGCTGTTATGTTAATCCTGATTAACAGGTGTTTATCAATCTTGATACACAAGTGTAATGTAACCTCATAAACAAATGCTATGTTAACCCTGATATACAAGTGTTATGTCAATCCTGATTGACAAGTGTTATATGGACCCTTATAAACAAGTGTTATGTGGACCCTGATTAACAGGTGTTATGTCAATCCTGATAAACATGTGATATGGCAATCCTGATAATCAGGTGATATGTCAATTCTGATAAACAAGTGTTATTTCCATCCTGATAAACAAGTGTTTGTCAATCCTGATAAACAAGTGTTATGTCAATTCTGATACACAAGTGTTATGCACTCTGATAAACAAGTGCTATGTCAATCCTGATAAACAGGTAATATGTCAATCCTGATAAACAGGTGTTATTTCAATCCTGATAAACAGGTGTAATGTCAATCCTGATAAACAGGTGTTATTTTCAATCCTGGTGAACAGGTGTTATGTCAATCCTGATAAACAGGTGTTATGTCAATCCTGATAAACAAGTGTTATGTTAATCCTGATAATCAGGTGATATTTCAATCCTGATAAGCAAGTGTTATGTCAATCCTGATAAACATGTGTTATTTTCAATCCTGATGAACAGGTGTTATGGCAATCCTGATAAACAGGTGTTATGTCAATCATGATAAACAAGTGTTATGTTAATCTTGATATACATGTACAAGTGTTATTTCCATCCTGATAAACAAGTTATATGTCGATCCTGATATACAGGTGATATGTCAAACCTGATTAACAAGTGTTATATGGACCCTTACGAACAAGTGTTATGTGGACCCTGATAAACGGGTGTTATTTCAATCCTGATAAACAGGTGTTATGTTAATCCTGATTAACAGGTGTTTGTCAATCGGTATACACAAGTGTAATGTACCCTGATAAACAAGTGCTATGCCAATCCTGATATACAAGTGTTATGTCAATCCTGATTGGCAAGTGTTATATGGACCCTAATAAACAAGTGTTATGTGGACCCTGATTAACAGGTGTTATGTCAATCCTGATAATCAGGTGATATGGCAATCCTGATAATCAGGTGATAAGGCAATCCTGATAAACAAGTGTTATTTCCATCCTGATAAACAAGTGTTTGTCAATCCTGATAAACATGTGTTATGTCAATTCTGATACAGAAGTGTTATGCACTCTGATAAACAAGTGCTATGTCAATCCTGATAAACAGGTAATATGTCAATCATGATAAAAAGGTGTTATTTCAATCCTGATAAACAGGTGTTATGTCAATCCTGATAAACAGGTGTTATTTTCAATCCTGATGAACAGGTGTTATGTCAATCCTGATAAACAGGTGTTATGTCAATTCCGATAAACAAGTGTAATGTGAACCCTGATAAACAGGTGTTATGTCAATCATGATAAACAAGTGTTATGTCAATCATGATAAAACAAGTGTTATGTCAATCATTATACAATAAGTATCGTGTTGTTCTGATAAAAATGTGTCGCGCTATTTTTGCTTCAACAAATGGTTTGTTATCCTGATACAACAAATGTTTATCCTTTAAAAACTAGTCTAATGAAATGGTGATTCAACAAGTGTTACGTTATGCTGATTTAACTAGTGATGCTTTATTCTAAAACAACAAGTGCTGTGTTATCTTGATAAAATAGATGTTATGTTATTCTGATATATCGAGTGCTGTGCTATCCTGATAAAATAGGTGTTATGTTATTCTGATGTATCGAGTGCTGTGCTATCCTGTAAGAATAGATGTTACATGATCTATGTTTGTTTGATGTAAATCTACCACTGTGGGAAAACGTTTTTGACTGTGTTATCCTGATAAAGTACTTGTTGTGTTTCAATGTATCATACTTTCACGGTTTTGTTTTTCCGAAGAAATCAATATATATATATATATTCATATTTTGTCCATTACCGGAAGTCATTTTAAATATTTGATTAGATAATTATAAAACAGACGATATCGTATTCTGGTTACATGATATTTTGGGATATTTTAATGTACACCAGTGACCCCTGGGAACATAACGCAATTAGACACCTATATCATTAAGCATATTTTGTAACATTTTGTAAATTGGAAACCTATATCATTTCCATCATAACTACTCATTTAGGTTTATATTTACATATAGTATGTACTAAACGGTTGTTAAAATGTTGACCATAATTTATCATTAGAAGTAGAATGAGGCTTCCAAAAATTGATGAAATGTGTTTTGTTGGAATATAACTCACTGGTCTGTCAGAACTGGATGTGCTTTTAGTATAAGGAAATCTATAGTGAAACATTTGTAATGTTTGAAATTAAACCTGGTGACAAAAGCTGATTTGGAATTTAACGAGAGCCAAATCTTCGAAAATAGACTCGGAAGATATCTTCGGAAAGTGCATCAATCTACAACACAGTGCTCTTGTTTTGATTGAACATAATATTGACTTTGAGTTTTCTTGGTTCAAACTAAGAGTGTATTTCATTGTAATATTGGGGAACAACAACAGGTTATGTTTGTGGATTTGTATTAATATGGTTTAATTATACTTTGTCATTTTCTGTTACAGATGACTATAGACATTCGAAGAGGTTTTCTAGTTAAACAGATCTTGAAGTTCTAGGTTCCCCATTGTAATATAGTTTCCCCTTTCTATAGTAACCTCCCGGTAAATTCTGTTTCGATATGGCTTGGCTACACTTCCATTGATCAGTTAGGTCAATCCGTTAGAGATAGTATAATAATCGGAAGTCAAGGGTTCGAACTCAGGTCAAACTGATTTCCTTTACTCTTTGAACGATATTGTTGATTATATTTTATTTATTTCATCTTTATTGTTCCTCAAAAATATCCCACAATGCGTGATTTTCTTTTCGGAAATGCTTTACCAAAGCTTTAGTTATGCCAGAGAAAAACAATTAGTTTAGTTTTTTGCAGTGGTAAGTTAATCCTTTTACTGATGATATATTTCTGCAACGCGTGTTACCTCCCTCTCTTTGTCTAGTTCCACGAGACATTGATAATACATTTCATTTGAAGTCTTCCGCATTGGAGGTAGACTAAGACTCTATAGCATCTTGCACGTTTGCAGTTTGTTTCAGTTTTTACAGGCAAAGTTATATCCCTCCTGTCTCTTGTCATGCATCAATACATATCTTGTTGTTTTCTGTATCTTCTGTCGGCTTATATTTTATATATTTCAGTGATGGTTTGACTCGACAGCCACGGAAGCAGACTTTCACTTGGTACAGCAGAATATCTTCAAACCTTTTCGTATAAAACAAATGACAGATATTGTGATGCATAGCATCATTTATTAATATAATTTACTGTATCCATTTTCACTCCTTCAATCAAGCTGTTGAAGTGATTGAAGATATGGCCATCATATGCCGTACAAAAAAGAAGTGGTTTTTTTCAAGAGACAAACAATTGAATGTATTGTGTTTGTCTTCTATTTCACAGTTTAATTTAGCTCAAACTAATCAGTACGAGAATATACAGGAATTTCAACAGCTGATGCAAACTTTATGTAAGCAATGCCTGTAACAAGTATGCTACAGTACTACATGAAGCTGAACCTATAAAACAGAAAATATCTTTGAGACATAAATGCCTCTGCAGGAATCATTTATTAGTTTGGTCATTCGATAATTTTATATTAATAATAACGGTGACCTTGGCAATCTCGAATACAGCTCATTCCAAGTATCATCAAATTTGAAAAAGAGTCGAACATTACTTTTATTCTTGATGTTCATTTGTTTTGAAAATTGCTGAACAATCGTATAGAAAGGAGTCACTATCTCGTTAAACAAGGTTTCTTCAAAGGTAACTGTGACTTTATCGCCGAATTCGTTGTTATGAATGTTACGAGATACAGTTGTATACTGTCCCTTCTATTTGCGACGTCAACATGATTATGACTTTATAGTGTGTAACTTAATCGGGATTGGAATAAATGATACGATTAAGTGACCATACGTATATTTTCGTCAGTACACAACGTAAAGTCGAAACCCGACATAATGACTGCTGATATAAGGTTCGAACAAGACCAATTGGAAAAGAAGTTGATAGAGTTATGGCGGTAATATAGTAGATTAGTTTCTATAGTAACAGCGACAATGCCCCTTTTCTAAGGACTATGAAACACGAACATATTACTTCAGATAATATAAACAACGTAGCTTTATGTTTTTGCTAGAAAATGACAAATTTATAACATCTTGAATTCTGCAAAACATACAGTAACTTCAGTTATAATCAGTTCTTAAATGTTCACAAATATGTCCAGTTGCTGGGCAGCGATCATAGTCATTATCCACTTCCTCAGATTCGTAACGAACATTCTGTTTCCTTAGCTCGTCATAAACGCCGTCGTCAAGTCCATTTGTCTGGGCATGACCCACTCTCACATGATCATATGGATCAATGTCTCGATCCGTCTTCATTTGTTTTTGTTCGTTTTTTCTACTGATACCGTATCCGTTTTCTGTTTGTGATTGGGATTGTGCAAGTGCGTACACGCCGTTTTCTTGGTTATTTTCTTCTGGGTTGGTTTGTTGTTCAAGCAGAAAATAGTTGTCGCCTTGAATTCCAGTTATGTCTCCATTTCCGGTTTTCGAAATGGCAGGGGTTTCCTTGGTAAAAGATTTCTCATTAGATGGTGCATTTTCACTTTCATCGACGAGGAAATAATTGCCTCCTTCAGGTGAAAACGATTCCTTCATTGTCTGCATTGCTTCAGCTCGTTCATTTGCATCATTCTCATGCACGAAATAATTATCATTTAAATTGTTTCTTAAAGGAGGAGGTTGGTGTCCTGTTTTCTCCACATTGAAATAGTTTTCAGGAAGAGTAGTTGAATTTGAATTTACCGCCTTATTACCGGTCACTGCTTTAGCGAGATCATAATCATCATCGTTTTCAGACGTAACATCTCTTTCAATCAAGAGCTTTGCGTTCCCTGTGTTTCCTTGGACCGTCGGCGGTGATTCATGACAGAGATCGCCTTTTCGGCCTCCCACATATCTGTCGTGGTTGACTGTTGGCATCACATCTTTGAACTTCGATTGTCCACCAAAACTGGCATAACTATAGTCTTGCTCACCTGTTGTTGTAAGTTTTTGATCATCCGCCATGTCATAAGTGTGTACGTCATTGCCGTTCCCTTCATATCCTGCATTGTCCTGGCTATTAGTATTCCCGTTGTTCTAATAATTTATTAATAGCAAATTTAACAATTTTAATAAGATAATCCAAATACGTTATTGAAAGTTTAACAATGGTTTAAGTTATGTTTTTTTAATAAAACACTCATACATACATGTACATTAAAATATTTAATATAAAAGTGACGTGAAAGTTTCAATGATTAGTATCTAGCAAAGGGACTATTATAAATGTTCAATTCTACATAGTTAATAAAGAGAATATAATGGATCAGCAATATTAAATAGTTTCAATTTTTAGTTTATATTGGGTTATATTTATTTAACATTTAAAACAAATGAATTTGATGTTAAAATTTATGAAATATTTTGAAATTATTATTAATTCATAAGATAGGTTTTATCAGTGTTGACGAGGAAAGAAACAGGATAAAATGACTCGTAAAACCACGTGGCTTTGGTGTATACATGTGACCAGTCATTTTTTTCTATAAACGTAAATTTCACTAGGAAACATTTACCTGTAAATCTTCATATGACGGGTTCGTTACGCAGGGTTCAGAGTAGTCTGACTGTTTCTTATTCCTGAAATAAACACCAAATTTAGTATAAATGCTGATGCAATAACTAATAATACAATAACCTAATATGTATTTCTATAAAAAAAAATAAGGAAAAACTAGAACACTGACTGGCCTGCAAGGGCCCCGCCATGTGCCTGACCGATTCAACCTCTTAGCCACGTCGAATCACAGTAACCTTGACCTTAATTTGTTTTAAAACCCTTTATTGCATATTTACTTTGACCTTGACATTGACCTTAGAAAAATTGTAAACCCCTATTGCACATCCAAAGTTCATACAGAAGTTTTTCGGTTTCCGAGATAATCTTCGAAAACGAAAATTTAGTCGAGTGACCGGAAACGGACATTATTGTGTCAAGTCTTAAAAAGATGTCAAACATACGTATCGTTATTGTTTTATCAAGACTTATATAAGTTAATAAAAATCTTATATGTTAAACAAAGTGTGATAGTGACATAAGTAGTATAGAATATACCATTTTCTACGTCGGAGACAGACAAACACCGTTACACCGCTGACAATCACCACAAGAGCTATCAAACCGCCTACAGCCGCCAGTGTCGATATACTTTCTTCATTGGACTGACGTGCTGCAGAAACAAAATCTGAATGGAAACAAGTAGAGATAATAAACAGAAAAATAAAAATGAGGAGGAGGAGGAAAAAATTGTGCTTAATGTACCTATCTTAGTTGAGGTTGAATCATCGGTTGTGCTGGTTGGTTCCGACGTGGCAGGTATATGTGTCGTAACTGAATGAGTTATGGTTTCTGTTCTGGGTGCAGTAGTCGTTTGAGGCCAAGTAGTTGTCGTCGTTGTCGTTAATGTAGAATGAGGTTCTAAAATTGTGCTTAATATACCTATGTTAGTTGAGGTTGAATCATCGGTTGTGCTGGTCGGTTCCGACGTGGCAGGTATATGTGTCGTAATTGAATGAGTTATGGTTTCTGTTCTGGGTGCAGTAGTCGTTTGAGGCCAAGTAGTTGTCGTCGTTGTCGTTAATGTAGAATGAGGTTCTAAAATTGTGCTTAATATACCTATCTTAGTTGAGGTTGAATCATCGGTTGTACTGGTCGGTTCCGACGTGGCAGGTATATGTGTCGTAATTGAATGAGTTATGGTTTCTGTTCTGGGTGCAGTAGTCGTTTGAGGCCAAGTAGTTGTCGTCGTTGTCGTTGTTGTAGTATGAGGTTCTGAAAATAAAACTGAAACAAGCAAATTCGTGGAATTTATATCCCCCGCTTGCAGGACATATTTTAGGTAAACATTATTGAGGTTAGGTTTAAACATGCGAGTATCGTGCTGTTGAGACATAACCATAGCTTGAAACTGGAAGAAGAAAAAAAGCCTTATACAGAAGATAGACTTCTTTTTGAACATGTAGGTATTACGGTGTAAATTAATCGTTTAATCCATCAGAATTTACTAACCTCATTAATTATCACAAATCACATCGATTGGCAAACTTAGCACGAGTCGGATGTGTAACCGGAATTAGGTTGAAATATCTGCAGGATATCTACAGCAATTATCAAACGAAAACCAAAGAGTGCCCTAGATGGGTGGAAAAACAGATGAACACAAACATTGTTATCAAGTTTGAAGGAATTCGGCTAATATTTGCTAGAGTTATTAAGCAGAAACTGCAGATAATGACGTTAATCAATGGGCCATAACTCCGACAAATATAGTCATCGAACTTTCCCAAGCCCTTAAGGCATTTTACCCTGTTATCAAGTTTGAAGAATATCGTTTGACATTTGTTGCAGTTATTCCACGGTAACGAAGAGTGAAAGACAGACAAACAGACAGACAGACTGACGGACATACCCAAATTAATATCCCCCGTTTTGGTGAAAGCGGGGGATACTAAAGTGTTTTAGAACTAGACCTAAATAAGATGTTTACGAAACAAATGCAGGAACTGCATTGCAGACAACATTTTTCAGATGCTGTCAGTTTGTAACACAAGTAATTGTGTTGCCTTTCAGAAGCAATGTTTTTTGTATTGTTTTCTGTAATTGTTTTTGGATTGCATATCATTCAATATTCAACCTACATATATCATTATAACGATAATTGATTTCTATCCCGAAATACCAAAAATATGCCCATGGCCTAATAATCAAGCATTTCATACCTGGAGGTAAAATAGAAACAGACTTACCTGCGGTTTTAATGGAATCATTTGAAACTGTAAAGAAGAGATATCAAATGTTTTACATACGTACTGTGAACAGTCTAAATGGTTTAAAATGCATCCAAGGATAACATACCATTTGTGTACTACAATCCGGTAATAAAGCTTCAAGTAATCAAATTCTTTTTTTAAAGAAAGTGTTTTTTTATTTATTATCTTTGATAAAAGACGATCATTTGTAATAACTTTTACTCGTTGCCTTCCGAAAAAATTTCATGAAATTACTATTGTTGTTTTAATACATTATTTAATCAACAGCAAACCAGGGGCCAATCACAACAATAAGGGATTATACCTACAGCTTTATATACCCATACTATAATTCGACCATTCTGAATAATAAAGTAAAAACGCTATGAACATATCCTTTTACTAACATCACTTAGCAGACGTCATGGTGAAATATATTTCTACTGGACCTGGATTCAATTTACATTTCTTCTGTACTTGTCAAATGGATTTAGCGGAGCTTGAAATACGTATAAAATGATACTCACAAATGCAGTTGCAGACCAATGAATGGCATGCTTCCGCACTGCACTTGTTGCTACGACACAATCTACACTGACACTTTTGTTTGGAGCTGTGGTTTTGAAAATATTCAAACACCGTAGCAAAATTTCCGTCTCCTATGGATTGTCCAAAACGAAGCTTCCCTTCAATTTCAAATGTCTCGTTTTTGCATGTGAGTAAATGAACTAAAATCAAATTAGAAAGAAAATCACGAAACAAATATGTGTATCATATTCTTCAATGCTTCGGCTGCCAAAAATTGAAAACAAAGATAATGGAATATTGTTTTTTAGAAAATCATCTCAAAATGACATAGTTCATTTTTGATTTATTCTTTAGATCTTAAGTACAAAACAGGCTTCGTGCATAACTATCAATGATAACTTTGTTGAAATATATTTCAGGTGAAAATCAACAGAAACACAGTGCCGGTGCTTATTACTAGTATAATGATACACGTTTAACTATATTTTCATCCCGAGTTCTGATAAACATTTCAACCTTCAACTTTGCTGACATTTCTTATTAGACATTTTTGATATGTATTACATAGATTTCCGTATGAAAAGCATTCACATTTTCAAGTTTTTAAAAGACAAGCGCATAGACGTTTAGCGTTTGTTAGGAGTTTTAAACGTTTCGTGTTATTATGAATTGAACCGTTTTATAGAATAGGAACACTATGTTACTTATTCGGAAGAGCTTTAGGGCCTCTTAACAAAATATTTATTTTAATCGAAATTTTCACTTAATAACTCAAATTTTTGAAATAATAACTCGTAAATTCGACTGACTGACGTTTCTAAAAATATTTTTTATTACTTCGAGTAAGTTACACGAAAAACTTTATAATTAGTTTTTTCTTCAAAGTGGCCATAATGGTCTTCTGTAAAAATGAGACAATCTCAGGTAGGTAATCCAATCTAAATGGTTTTTAAATTGCATCAGTGGCAGATGACTCTTGTCGGATACAGATCTAATTTCACTAAACATTGATTTGTATAGTAAATAAACTCATCAACCCTGGCATGATAATTGATTAAATGTTAGCTTTACAAAATCTACTTGTGTTGGCCACATGTAAAATTAAAAATAATTGTATCGTTATATAAAAGAATTGACATAATTTGAAAGTTCATATTTTTTTGAACTGGAAATATAACCGAAACATCTGATATGATTCTATCAATTAAATGTTGCCAATATCACCAGAATGATATTATTTACCATCTATATACATTAGTCACTGTACCAACTATCAGTAGCGTGATAAGTTCGTTATATTTGGTTGTCAGTTTTAGGATACTCAAGATGAAGTTGAGAACGATTTGAGAATCGATTTATTCCCCATGAAAGAATGCATGTTCTGAAATAAGAATATCCACCCGCGCCAGGTGACGCCCTGAACCGGAAAATAGAATCCACACATAGATGATCAGCGTAAGAAAATAGTCCGACATAAACAAATCATTGTTAAGTAATGAGAAAAATTTGTGAGGATGACAACACCATTTTAAGCGTAAATGTGCCTACGGAGAGGCCAATGACGACCATATTGCTTTAAAATATCTTTCTATGTACTTTGAAGGTCCATGGTACTCCTCTAAGCAAATCTGCTATTTGTTTACGTTTGTCAGATTCATTACGAGAACCTGCAATGTTTTTGCAGGACAATTCTAAATTGATTAGTACAAACAATGGTTAGTGCACTTACTTTTCTTGTAATCGGTTGAACTAGTGATATTGTCTAAAAGTAGAGTTAAACTTTCCTTCTTTCCATTGTAGCTATACTCTAATGTGCCATGTTGTCCAGTCAGAGTTAACGATTCATTCTGGACGTTTCTAGTCGATTGACATGATATATTGTTCTTATTAAAAACCGTCGATTTGTTTACTCGGGTTTCTGCATTTCAATAAAAAACGACAGATCATTCAATTAGTAGTGACAGTGGACATTTTTGTGTGTCTGATACTCTATTTGATACAATTCATTTGGAGATATTAAGATTTTACGATAACATACACAGTAACAAACCATAGCATCAACATTCAAAGAAACTTTGGAATTTTAATTCGAAACAATAAAAGCACCATTGCGATACCGAAATTCTCAACTAGAAACAACACGGAAATCATCATTCAAAAATGTGCACCCCCGATGAGTTCGTTTACCGTTTCAATAAACACCAAAATATCTGCAGCTGTTAGGATTATGAGAGCAGTTTTCGTTTAAGGTTCGGTTGCTATTGTCCTGATAGAAATTTTAAACATTTCTAATCAAAACAAAAGACAGGAGATCAGTTTTGATTTGTCAGAAAGAATAACCTCTGGTCAGGGCCATGGCAAGAACATTTCAATTTTTTCGTCAAAATTCGGCCTGTGGACATTTAGAAGATATCTTATTTGTAAGATTATCAATGTCCACTCCGAGGCTGATGCATAATTAATTTTACACAACATTGTATTCCTTTTTGTTCAAAAATGATTAATTGCAAATCAGATAAATCTTTCATTCACACTTAAGTATTTTCGTACTATTTACATAAGCTGTTAAATTGCATTTTATGCTTGTATGCCGGCATGACCATATCTTTAATAAGTCATTTTTGAAAAGAAACAAAATGTAGAAACTTTATGAAAAACTAACGATAAAGAAAACAAAATTAAAAGTGTTATGACGCTGCGGTGAGTGTAGAACTGCACCGGGTCAGACCAGGATTCGAACCGTTGACCTCTGATCATCAGATAGTCGTTTAAACCAACACTGAGCTACCTGGTCAACAGAAGTATCTTTGTTCATTCTCACTTTACCTATATTCAACACTGTTGTTGATATTTTGTTCTATTTATCTTTTTATTTATTTATATATTTTATTATAGCTATAGTCTCAGGTTTTAGAGCCGGTACGGAAATCGTCAACACTTTACTATCTATACAATATACTTTTACATATTTTGAATTTAATTTATGCTGACTTGTAGTTAAAATAATTTTAATTACCTTGTCCACTGATAGTACATGTAATGGCGGTACTTGTCCTCATTGCCAGCCCACACATAAATGTCAAACACATCCAGATACAGGCTCTCCAGGATACCATACTTTGACCTGTGGTGAAAGAAAAACAGATCATAACAAGCGTTATCGACATACCCTGTAATATACTTAATTTGTTTTCAACATAATTGGATCATTTACCAGGTGTACTACGAAGTCTATTTAACGTCTTTGTACCTTTTAAGGGCCCTATATACACAAAATGACAACTATTACGGGGCCCTATATACACAAAATGAAAACTATTACGCACAATTAGGTATGTTATGAGGTGTATTCTCACTATCGATACAGGATTCCCTGCGGTGTAAATGTTACATCTTCATTCCTTCTATAAAGTATATTTATAAAACAATAAATACTTACTTTGATTGTCGTTACTTTCGTTTGTCCCTGTGCTAGATTAAATACGTCATATTATTGTTCGGAATACACAGCCTGTGTCCCCGACATTTCTCTTTGTAAACGTGCCAGAAGGGGAAATACACACCAGGAAGTATTTTTGTCGCTCCACCAGAGTACACGTAAAGCTTTGAGAGGACGCCCCACTTTAAAGCCTTTATTTAACCTTTGGTAGTCGGGAAGGTATTTTTACCCACGACATTGAAATGAAGTCACGCATTACAAACAACGTAAAAGTATGCATTACACACAAAGACCCTAGTATGGCTCAGCCTTAAGTGTACAAAGTGTGATAGATGTGTACGATATTTTATTTCATCCAAATATTGTTACATCCGGTTGTGTAACTTAATCCAAGAGGTTTAGATAGAACACTGTAAATCCTATTCTTGTTAAGGAAAACTCAGTTTTTGTCTGATAATTATTTTCAAGTTATTATGAACTCAAATCTCAGTATGTGTTAAGGAAAACGATTTATCTTTGGTACAGTAATATGGACGAGTAATGGGCTAGGCTCGAGTATAGCTGCAGGTGTGGAGTCAAGCGGCAAGGTAAAGTTGGACAGTTATTCGTTATTAATTATTCAAAATTTTACAGAAAAATGCTGTAAAATGGATGCCGGTGCACAATTTTTTTAAAGGTTGCACGCACCGAGTTTCATTAAGATTGAAATGGGAATTCACCCCGAGCTAGGACCAGGAACATTGAATTTGAACAAAATCTCAATTTTGACAATTTTCGGGAATAAGGTTCCAGGGGGTCTGGAAACCGTGCCGGTGCATACTTTTTTGAAAAGATTGAAATAGGAACTCACCCCGAGCTAGGACCAGGAACTTTGAATTTGAACAAAATCTCATTTTTGACAATTTTCGGGAATAAGGTTCCAGGGGGTCTAGAAACCGTGTCGGTGGACAACGTTTGAAAGGTTGCACGTACAGGGGGTGCCAATGACAGCATTCACACCGAGTTTTATTAATATTGAAATAGGAATTCGCCCCGAGCTAGGACCAGGAACAATGAATTTTAACAAAATCTCAATTTTGACAATTTTTGGGTATACGGTACCAGGGGGTCTAGAAACCGTGTCGGTGGACAAGTTTTCAAAGGTTGCACGTGCAGGGGGTGCCAATGACAGTATTCACACCGAGTTTGATAATATTGAAATAGGAATTCGCCCCGAGCTAGGACCAGGAACATTGAATTTGAACAAAATCTCAATTTTGACAATTTTCGGGTATAGGGTACCAGGGGGTCTAGAAACCGTGCCGGTGGACAACTTTTGAAAGGTTGCACGTACAGGGGGTGCCAATGACAGTATTCACACCGAGTTTTATTAATATTGAAATAGGAATTCACACCAAGCTAGGACCAGGAACATTGAATTTGAACAAAATCTCAATTTTGACACTTTTCATAACGTCATCAATTTTTGAGAAAACGACGTAATTTTTTCACAAAAAGCAATGACGTAACAATCGATACCTGCTCTCAAGAGAAGATAACTCTGAAATACGCAAAGACGGAATAGTCCTCTCCCAACTGACAGGGTGATCACCACACTGTGACATTAGATTAGGTAGGGTCAGTCTGATGAGCCTTGACCACTGACCTGAAGGGTGCAGACCCTACTAATATATAGACAATGGATGATTAATCCCCTATTGTTTAGAGTATAAGTAGTGGACTCCTTGTTTGGGCAACACCCTTAAGCAAAATCATAGTTCAAGGTATGGTTATAGTCTGTTTCAAAATGATGTAGGTGTTAGTACTAATTATTATTGAGAACTTATGTCTACCGGTACTTAATCAGGGAAATATTCCATTATCTTTAAAAAAAAAAAAAAACACCCACACATTTGGTAGAAGACGAAATAATATAAATTTAAAAAAAAAAGAAAAAGGATAATTTACATTTTTATTATCTTTCAAATATCAAAAAAAATATTTTCTTACAATTCTAAATTATTATAACATCACAGCTGTAAGATACAAGCCGCCGGCATGTTATTCAACTCTTTTTGATCAGAAGTAAAGCCTCATTACCTAATCTAAATATTAACCTTATATTAATATCAATGACTGTTTGAAATTTGGTCATGCATTGTCTATAATTTCAACTTATACAATAACAGTTGACTGCATGCTATTTTATTTGCATGGTTTTGTCTACAGAATTGCATTCTTATGCTGAATTTGTACAGACATACACTCTAGAAAGGAAAATTAATTATAATTTTCACTTTTCATTACATCACAAATGTCAACAGATATATTCAAACGTTGGGCTACGGGCCTATTTTATAAACATGTAGTACATGGTACAAAAAAACGACGTATAGAGAATGTACAGAGATGATGTACAACATAATTAAATAGGGGTTCTGATAGCTTCAAAGATAAATTTCCCTGACATACATTGCTGTTGACTATTTTTGACAATTGATAATGAAACTGAATAGCCTTAACCGCACTCTAAGATAGCAAAATTTACTACAAATAAACAGAAAGTGAAATTCATCTTTTCATGCCTTTGTAGTTACATTCCTAACAATGATTTTGTTCTCCAGGAACATTTCTTTATCTTCCAGTCTCAATTAATCCGAAAAAGTACTTGTGTTCTATACTTTACTGAATTTACTTAGTAAGACAAGATTTTCTAGTATTACTACTCTTGTTTTTTTCTGCATTTATTGTAGAACGTCAACTTTATATTCAGTTCTTCTAAATTCTTCCATTTGGGGATCGTTTCTGTTGATATATTATTTGATCCAATTTGTGATATTACCTTTAGATTTTACAACTAAAACTGTGGAATTTCAATGCTTGATCTGCTTGTACAATTTATTGAATCTAGTTTCATCTAATGCAACCAAATTAACAATCACTTAAAAAAGACAAACATCTGTACAGTTTTGTACAGTAAAATATCTTTATTGATATCGGGGAAAATGACAATAGGTTATAAAATGAGTAAACAGAAGTTTGAAATATGAAAGCACTTTTACCAGAGGACACTGTACATTAGGCCACAGTGGCCAAGTGGTAAAGGCGCCCAACTATCTACAATCACTAGCCCTCTGTCACTGGATTGTTGGTTCGAGGCCTACGTGGGGCATTTGCCAGTACGGTCCCGGGGTCAATATTTTTTTCTCCCAGTACTCTGGTTTTCCCCCACCACCAAAACCTGACTCATCCTTAATTGACCACATCTGTTAATAAGAGCGTAGCGAAGCTCTTTAATGGTAACACATGCGTGCGTAAACAGAGTTGCATCCCCTTTCTACACATTGCCTTTAAAACAAATCTTCTGGAAGTAGACGTCCAGTGGGGAAATTGGATGTGTATCCTTGAAGCAAAGACAACTGTGTTTCAACCCATACAAGAACATCTTCATATGGTGAAAACAATACCCATGTTTTATCTTGTTTTTTTAGATAAAAAGTAATATACATTCTGAGTGAAAACAGTCTATCACATAAATTTTGATACAAGCAGGCATGAAACGTCGTTCAGAGATTATCATACTATGACGTCACAAACACGTCACACTCCATCGGTCTTCATCGTTTATTTCCGGAAGGATGAAAAATAACAGGAAAATCATAGAACTGATGGCCGTTGCATTTATCTCTTTGTCGGTGCTTCATGACATTTTAATTTCACTTTTTGCCACAGGCACAAAAAGTAAAAACGCGGATGTTTTCTGAAGATCCTTTTTGTCATCAACCAGGATCTGTTAATATTTCTACCGGGAGATATGTTCAAAAATAGCCGCATTAAACCAATTCCGTCTTTGCGTATTGCAGAGTTATCTTATCTTGTGAGCAGGTATTGATTGTTACGTCATTTGTTTGTGAGAGTAACGTCATCAATTTATGAGAAAACGACGTAATTTTCTCACACAAACCAATGACGTAACAATCAATACCTGCTCACAAGAGAAGATACCTCTGCAATACGCAAAGACGGAATAGATTAACGTGTACATTTATTTTTCATCGTCTAAAATTTCATCAGCTTTTGATTTCCATTTGTTGAGAATGGGAATGAAATCATTTACATTTTTTTAAATTCTGGTTATAGTCTTTACATATTTTATGTATGCATCACCACTCATAAAAGAAACAATGGACAATTCATTTATGTCGAAATTAACAATAATTGTCCAGACAACGAACCCGAGTTCAACGCCCTTTTTCAGCAACGTATTACTTTTTCACAACGCATGCCGATTTATAACTAGTTACAGACAGAAACTGTTTAATTTTATTTGGCATCATTACCTGTCAAACCTCAGTGACAGTTACAAAATTTGAAATTCAATCCGGTGTTTCAGGATGGAACAGGAATTCTAAATATCGATATAACGACAATCTCAGTTACACCAAAGTATTACAATGTTTTCTTTTTTTAATTTCATTTTTTTTTCAACTAACATCTCTATACATTTACTTTTGTAGACTTATCGTCAAATATGTGATATGCACTTTTTTCTATAGCAATAACCAGGGACAGTATATACGTCCCTGCAATAACCAAACATTTTTCCCCACCGGATTTCAATCATTCTATTTGTGACCTGACGGAAGCACGCAGAGGATTCAATTCGTAATTTGAGAGGAAGCCGGAGTATCCGGAAAAAACCCGCGTGGTCGGGCAGGTAACCGGGATTGAATCCGGCCATCTTGATGAAGACGAGAGCGCTATCCACTGCGCCACCTGACCCATCATCTACTTTAGCTTTGAAAATGGCGTCATTGATGAAAAAATTATATTGTGACTACATTTTTACCAATCATCAACGATACAAAAAATCTACATACGGGAGAGACCGGGGCAAGTTCGGCCACCCCTGATGTTTTTGTTTTTGAGCTATATTTACAACTTTAAAGATCTAAAAATTCTTAGCAGTTTAGTTGCCTGGGCATTCACACGAAAAAATGGCGAGGAAAACTCTAATGAAAAATTACTAAACAGGACAAATTTACTTTTGAGAGGGTAGAAAGAAAATCATGATCTCGCTTCTAGTTATGCAAACATTCTGTACACGGAATTGCTTGCTATTTTTTTTACGGTCAAACGTGTAACACATTGACAGCTTCAAATGATATATATAAAAGCAAAGCCAAGCACTCAC